TGAGTGAGTGAGTGAGTGAGTGAGTGAGTGAGTGAGTGAGTGAGTGAAAGAGTGAAAGAGTGAGTGATTGCTACTTTCTTTGTGTGCATGCTCTCTGCCATTCCTCGTGCTCAGGGTCCATACCAAAGGGTCTAATCTTGCAGGGTAACTTGTCATTCTCTCAGCAGCGACAGACCTGACCGTTGGGAAAATTTACGCTGCTATGATGATCATGGAGTACTACCGGCAGAGCAAGATCAAACGTTCACAGGCTCTTCGGGACGAGCAGGTACTGCAATCTCTGGTAAAGTAAAAAACCTGCCTGCCACCCATAAGAGTAAAAGGCAGACTGACGCGCAGAAACAGAGTCCACAGGTCTGTAGCTTAATTTCTTCTTGCTCGGGCTGTGACAGCCTCTGGTAAAATCAGGGACGAGTCTCCATCCTCTCAATGGAAAAGGCACTCCAAAATGTAGCCTCCATATGCAATGCTCCTCGCTGAACAGCACACATAGTGCTGCCATCTTGTGGGCAAGGTTAGTCACAGCTCTTCAGCATCGACATGGAGGAAAAATATGAGCAGAATTCATTATGAGAACTACTGAACTTTAAAATAAAAAACAAAAACAAAAGAATAAAATACAGAAAGTCATAGAATACAATAAAAACGTATTTTTTAGGTGTTGTCACAGCCCCCTATGTGCCCATCCGTGACCATTATGGGAGATGCCTCAATGGCTTCTTTCTTATATAGACTGCCTGCACTGATCCAGCATCTGCTAACCTTTCATTACCCGTGCTTGTAACTTTGGAATGGTAGAAATGCACCCTCTGACCCTGTTTAGTTAGCATTTTGCCAATTTTTTAAAGGAGAAGTTCCCCCTCCACATCAACACAACTGTGTTGATTATTTGTTTGAAAGTTGCTTCTTATCGGAATGAAAATTTTATGGTCCTCGACAGTTTTAAGGAGCAGGATCATAAATATCTGCCTGCCTCTCCGAACACTTCTTCACCATGTCCGTGGCATGTATTGTAATCTTTGCCACTATGTCCCTTAACCAGCATTAGACCACTACCTTCCTTTTTTTTTGAGTGCTCACTTTTCCCTCCCTCATTTTCCCCCATTTCTTTTCTCCTCTGAACAGTCATTGTTCTCAATGATTTCTTTATACTGTTTGACTTTGTTCAAATTCACTTTTCACACATATAACATGTCCTCCATCTGCGCCGCTCAGTCCACCTGCTGCTTTGTAGGCAGAAGCTCATAGCGTAAGGAGTAATAGGAGTAAATGTTGCTATTAAGGTTGTATATAGTACATTACTGCATCGTTGGAAGGATCACACAAAGTTTGAGATGAGACACTTTATAAAACTCTAAAATTGTAAAATTGCTTTGTTGCAAATGTTATAGATTAACAGACTTTTTGAAAATCATACAATTTGCTTAACAAATGTAAATTCTTTCATTAGCATCATAAATATTCATCTGCTTCTCTGGAGGGTGTTTGAGAAATGAATGACAACAAAACGCATCGTATTTGACTTCACTGTTATGATGTCTGTCGTCCTTTAGAGGGAGCCATATTTAATTACTCAACTTTTGATTATTTCTAAATCTGCATCCGACATTCTGTTTTTTTCTGTTGCCTTTTCTATCTTTATGAATTTCATGATCAGTTTACCACTGATTATAGGATGAAACCCAGATTAATGTATAATTCCCTCTAATCCAGCTCTGGACTGAATGGGTGAATGCACTTCTTTTTCCTCCCTGTTGCATCGGCCCCTGCATCGGTCCTGCTCTTTATCCTGCTAGTAAAAGGGTTTGACTTGCTTGAGAGGGCCTCTTCCATGTATTTATTTCCCATGATCTTGTTTGTCTGGCCTTGCTTTAGGCGACAGCTCCTGCTCTGCTCCTTTTCCCACCCTTTCCCTGTCAGTCTGCCTGATAGCTGGCGACGGCCATGTTGTATATCTCAAACAGAATCGAACGCCATTACTGTTTCAGCGCGTGGAGCCATCTACCCCCGCCCTGGAAGGGGGTCCAAGACCTAACAACGCCCTGCCACCGCCAGACACAACAGAGAGTGCCAACAAACTGTGAGTTTCCTCTTCTCAGTGTCCGTCCCTGTACACAAGGTGGTTTGTTGATAGAGGACCAAAGTGGAAAGATGCTGCTGTGCCTACCTCACAGGGCAGTGGATGGTGGCATCCCAGAGAGCCAGTCGTGGGTGACGGCTCGGGCCCAGGAGATGTCCCAGAAGGCTGGCAGCTGGAGCCCCGAGGGACACTCTGAGGACGGGCTGGGAAGCATGACCAATTCACAGGTAGAGGGCTCACACAAACCTCCCACCCGGGACCACACAAGTAACGGCACATACTGTAAACCAACGAGACGCATCTTTTTGTCTGTGAGTTTGTGTCAGCAAGTGTTCAACATTTGTTTTTACTTTCATGTCATTGTTACTGAGCGAAACACCCAAAGAACAGTGGAGGACAACAAAGTGGTAAAACGCACAATGATCTTTACATTGTTAAAGATTGCCGTCTCATTTCCATGGGCAGCAGCGTCCTGCTTGTTCATGCACATTGTATGTTACACAAATTAGATACAGTCTACAGACATCAAATTTGTGCTCCCTCTCACTATGAATGAGGTTTGTGTTTAAATAAAGCAGCCTATTGTTTGCGATGGCTTTGACTTGCACGTTGTTTCGTGTTCGTCGGCTACTTTCCAGCACAGCCAGTTTCCAAGGAGTTTTTTGGATCATTAAGCCACCTTAGTGCAAAAATAACAAAGTTCAGAGCTCATCATGTACCATCCCTACTGCCTCGTTGAATCATATAGATCATTCTTCCCCACCTTACGTAATTGTTCAGCAGTTGACCTGTCTTTGATCTCTTAATATTACATATTCTTCACGTGTTGTATCCTTCTGATTTTTTCCTCACACCTTTTGTTCTACCTTCAGAGTAGTCTTCTATCTTCGTACCGTTAAACCTCTTTAAAGCACTGATGGGACCCAGAATCGTGAGCATTGCGTCCTCTGAATCTCAGCCAAAAGGCCGGACTGGATACCCCAAAAATAAAAAATAGATAAATGACTACACCTATGCCTTTAAACTAATGTTTGCTTAAGAAACAGGAAGCTTGTCCTATTGTCCAAGCAGTCAAATTCAGGTATACTCCAAACAAAATGGAATCTTGCATGTTTAAAGATGGGGAGATTTGCATGGTGGCCACAGAAACAACATGCTGGATTTGTATTAACTGCATTGTGTGCAAGCTAACTAGCCAAAGCAGCCGTCATCGCTACATTACCTCATGTGCAGCCTACAGTGTGTCAGAACCGCACCGGGCCAATGTTTTCATCCGATCAGCTATGTTCCGACTCAGGTCCTTTGGGGCTTCACGCTGTTTTCTCCCCAAATCCGCTCCTGCTGTGACTGTCAAGCTCCTCCATCTGACATAAATGCCATTCAAGAAAACTCACCTTGTGCTGATATTTGCTTGCAGCTCAGTTAGTAGCAGCCTATACAAACACATTATATCATGTTTGGAGTATACTTTCAGTTTTTTTCTGCATAAGATCCAACCACCCAATGAAATATGACATTTTAGATGTTTTATGATAAAAAAATAAATAAAAATACACCGAAATGAATTGAGCTGTCCCTGACCTAAGACACACTTGGCAAATTATCCCACTTATATCGGTCTCCCTGAGACCCACGGTTCTCTGCTTTCCTTGGATAACAAACTTTTCCACCTGTCCTGCTACTCCCTGTTAGCTCTCATGGCAGACAGTCACACCATCTCCTGCTCTCCTGCTCTGTTTGCAGACGGTAGAGATGAGAGAGATGGGGCAGGATGGTTACTCGGATACTGAGCACTTTCCACCAATGGAAGGCCATGGCAGGGCCGCTTCCATGCCCCGCCTGCCAGGCGACAACCAAGTGAGCAGCATTCTCACCTCTCCACTGTCTTTGTATCTGCCCCAATGCGTCTACTCCCTGTCTCACTTCATTTTGTTTGTTATGTCAAATTTAGCAAGGTCTGACTCACTGCTTAAAGATTTGTCGCCATGGTTTCTTGAATCCCAACTGGAGAAGGTTAGAGGAGATGCAATAAGAAAAACGGGACATTTTTTAAATGCATCTTTAGACTGGAAGAAAGGATCAGAACCTTATGCTGAGCGTTGCAGCAGCATAGCGTAGAAGACGTGGACATGTTTTGCTCAACCGTAGCCTCCTAGTTTGGTTTTCAAAAAAGCAAGCAAGGCACAGTCAGACCTTCTGTGTGTTCTCCAGATGTTTTCATCTCCCGTGATTTCCTCACCTGCTTTAAGGTTTTTAAATGCAAGTGTCTCGTTTGTCATCCCACATCATCATCCATTTTATTTGGGGTCATATCCCGGTGAGCGCTCTGGTTGTCATTCACGCACAACACATTTATGAACACACACACACACACACACACACTCTACCCTCACATTGTTTCTTCCTCTTTTGCCAGGACTCACAACTATTTAATATTCGGAGTTTCTGTGGTTTCACTAAACTGTTCCTTCCCGTTTTCTCCGTTTTGATATCAGGGTTTTTTTTATTTATTTTTTTTTTATTTCCGAACCAGGACCGGAACAAAGTGTAACAGATGCCTCTGGTTGGTGTGTGCAGGTGTTTGTGTGCTGTGCTAATGTCTTTTCTGCGCTCTCACTGTTCTCTGTGACCTCTAAGTCACGCAGGTACTGTCGCTTCTCCCTGCTGCTGCCGCCGCGTGACTTTACAGTTGTGTGCGTGTGCGCGTGGGAGAGTGCGTGTTTGTGAGGGTGCAGATCCATTTGTACGTGTGTTTCGCTTATTGTTGTCACCGCAGCGCTGTTGATTGAGCACTGTTGTGTCGGTGTAACGCTGTTTTGGTGCACACCACTCCCAGTGTCTGTGGTGTTTCTCTTTCGCCTTCACTGCTGCTGTGGTGTCTAATCAGACCTTTTTCTGTCCTCTGCCCCTCCTTTTCTTTTTGTCCTTCTTTCTCCTCATCATTGTTGCACCCCATCTGCATTTGGGCTGAACGTCCGAATTGGTTCTTACTTGTTCTCTTCTGTATTCTTTCTCTGTCACAACCATCCTTGTCTTCTTCACTCCTCCCCCTTCTCTTCCCTTTTTTCCCTCCCTTCCTGGTTTTGTGTGTTCACCCCCTGTGTGACCATACCTCTGTTGTATTTGTGGCTCTGTGTCTGTGTGTCCTCTCTGTGCTCATACAGCAGCGGAGGAAAGGGAAGCACCGTGGCAGTAACCTCAGTGTATGTACCCTGTCTTGTGTCTTCTCTCCTTTCCTTTCTTTTTTTTCAGCCATTTTTAATCTCCATCCCTCTTGAAAGTTTAGTTTTTCTATTTCAATTCATAGCAAAAATAACGTTGTTTTTTTAAATATGAATAATATCAGCCTTTTTTAGCATGATAGATATCCACTTGTTAAATATTCATCAGTTCTTGATGTCGCTAGGTTGGATTTGGGCTTATTTTCCTTTGTGCCCTCTCATCAACAGTCATGACACTTTCTCTACACCCTATGACTCCCTGACTCTCTTTGCTCAGCTGCTGTTGTCGGCTCTTGATGTTGCTTTATGTTCTTCACCTTGTGTGCTTGACTACAGTAATGTCATCAATGGTACCCCATCTGCGTCTGAGTCTCCACTCAAAGTTTTGCCTGCATGCTTACATTTTCTTGAAGTATCTTTACAAAAGGTGTGTGTTTGTGCATGTGTGAGCGAGAGAGAGAAAAAGAATCGAAAGAAAGCAGGGAGATCCGGGTGCTTGAATAGATGTGTTGCATAAATCTCAGTGCTACACCTGTGAGGCCTGATATTCTAGTGTTTTATATGTGTCCTCAAACCCACCGGTTATCATTTGATTTGCTGAATAAGTGCTAAGTACTAAACTCGATCTGCTCAGTTGCCTTAAGGATTTAGCACTGACTTGATAAAGTGGCCTGATAAGGTTTCCATGCCCAAGTCAGCAACTTTTGGCCCCATAGGCTCTGTCCGGCTGTCCGTCCTTTGAGCATGAACCCTTCAGTCTGCAGAGCGGAAAAACCAATGCTCTTAAAGGACTCTGGACAACCCCTATGTATGTGCATGACAGAGGCGAAGCACGCAGAAATAATGAAACTAAATCTCTGTGCTGTCCAAAATGTGTTGTGTTCAGGGCATTTCTGGGTTGGGAAGACAGAAGTGTGGAAGTGTGTACTGACCATTAAAACCCTTGTTTCTTTTACAATGCAAGTTACAGAAGCATGGAAGGCATGGCCGTTTGCCATTATCCCCTTTCCTGTACTTCATTATTCTTTCCTTTTGCCAGAGGTCAGCAGTTACAGTAACATGAGCCCTGCACCAGCTTTTCCTGAGCCCGGGGTTGCAGTGTCTTGGTTTGTGGGTGTGGAACGGTGATGTGCACACATGAAATTATGAACATTAACAAAAGTGTACACGTTTTTCATTAGACAACCTGTTAGGTTGAGTTTCTTTCTTTTACATGTTTTGAAAATCACGATATTCTCTTGTAGTTCTGTTACAAGACATTACATTTTTTCCCCAAAACCCACTTTATAGATTTGAAATAATTTTAATCGGCATGATTGTAGCTCTTAAATGTTTAGAGGTTTGCGTAAGTTTCTACTGGAAGGCTGGTGTGGGGCTTGCATAGGATCAGGCCACATGTGCACACACGCGCACACCTACGCATTGTCTCTTACCCCACCGCTCATGGAAACATCTTCTTGACAATCGAAGGAAACACCTCTCCCTCCATCCCGTGGTGGTGTCTGTCTCTTTCGCTCTTAGACCATCAATGACAGCGGCACCATGAAGCGCTCCGCCTCCTCGCTGGGCCACAGCAGGTCCGGGCGCGGCCACAGAGAAAGAGGTGGCCCCAGCGATTACAACATGGAGTGTGCGATACCGGAGGAGGGCAGAGCCTCCAGGCACGGGCACCGGCGAAAAGAGCGCAGTCACCGGGTGTCCGAGCGGTCCCTCTGTCGCTATAATGAGGCCGACACAGGTGGGACAACCCCCCTCAGTGGTTAAGTTTTGTCACACATACTTTGCACTCGGCACATTTGAACCACAGTCTTGTATTTTCAGCGCACCTAACCCCGGCAGCATCTCTCCCAACAGGCCTGGGCACAGACCTGAGTACGACCACACAGTCAGGCGACCTCACGTCCAAGGAGAAGGACCGGGACCGAGACCGGGGCCGGTCCAAAGACCGGAAGCACCACCACCATCGGCACCATCACCACGGCTCCTTCGACAAGGAGCGCTATGTAGCAGAGCAAGGGACGGAGTACCGACACAGGCACTCCAGGGAGAGAGAGCTCGACCGGGAAAGGGAGCACGACCGGGAGAGAGAGCACGACCGGGAGAGAGAGCACGACCGGGAGAGAGAGCACGACCGGGACAGGGACAGAGAAAGGGACCGGCGCTGGTCGCGATCACCCAGCGAGGGTCGAGAGTGCATGACACACAGACAGGTGGGCGTCTGGGTAATGATGTGCATGGGTTGTCCAAGTCAAAGCATCCTTCTGAGGCTTTCTAATGTGAAAATCTGTATACATATCTGGAAACACGTGCCTAGTTTTGCTTAAAACTAAGCCAGAGGTCCTCTTTACCACTTCCTGCTTTTCATTTAGTCGCTGCTGCTATCAAATTAAAGGCCACCGTAGTGCTCAAAATGCCAGAAATGATGTAAATTACTTTTTGCTGAATTTACAGTCATATGCTATATTGTGAGTGTAATAATATAAAGAAAATGGGAAGGATTTGATTCATGAAGTCCCAATTGTCAAATCACCAACAACCAAATATGCATGGGAATGTATATTTGAGGACCCAACCAGCCACCCTCTTTTCCTTTTGCAACGTCCTTATCCAGACTTTGTATCTTTTACATATTTCTGACCCAATCTACATCACCTTTTCTCAGAAACTTGTGATGTATATCACTAATATGTCAAATAATTGGTGTTTTTCTTAAAACTTGAAAAAAGAACAACACAGTAGGAAAGAATTTTAACTTGCAAAAAAAATGTTTTTGCCCTTTAGTTTTTAAAAAGGGTGACACTTGATATTTTGTTTACATATCACACAGCTCAGTCCAAGAAACTAACAACATTTCGTGTGTGTTTTTCACCATATTTACCCTGTGCTGGTCTGGAAATCAACCCTTTAACCTACTTTTCTCCTGTCGTCTTTTGTTTCCTTTTCTCTGCGTGACATGTTGCTTCTCTCTGCATGGTGCTGTTTGGGATCTCATTCTTTTTTATCCACATCCTCTATTCTGCTCCTGTTTTAATGCCTTTCATTCTGCTTTCTCTCCTCCACATACACTATAACTGGTGCTTTTATTCCTCTTGTTGCTGCTGTTCTTGTTCTTGTCTTCTCTTGCTCTTCTCTCTGGACTCTCCCTGCTTTTTTCTCCCCTCTGGCATTCTCTCTCTCCCATTCTACCTGTTTCACACTCTGCCTTTCGCCATCCTCTACTTTACATGTCTTGTCGTTGAATTTGTGGTTCGTTTTTTTTATTTGCTTTATTTCACTTTTCGTGTAGGGCAGTAGTTCAGTCAGCGGAAGTCCGGTCCCCTCGACCTCGGGGACCAGCACGCCGCGCAGGGGCCGTCGACAGTTGCCTCAGACCCCCGCCACACCTCGGCCTCATGTCACATACTCCCCTGTGGTTCGTAAGGCCATGCCCACAGCCCCCGGGGGGCCGCAGGGACGGTCCCCCGCCCCCCGTCACTTTTCTCCAGAACCCCCCCAAGGCCAGGGTCCGCCCCCTGCTGGCCCCCCATTGTCCCAACATGGCCCGTCCCGCCAGGGTCACCACCCCCCGCCCCGCTGGGGGGACACAGGTGGAGGAGGAGGCTCCGTGGAGGGGGATGGCTGCTTCTACAACCAGGAGTATCAAGACTATGAGCCGCACCACGAGCCACCTGCGTACGAGCCCAGCCCCATGCAGGGCAGCAACCCCCACCCTCACCCCCACCCCCACGCCCTGGCCAACCATCCTCTCCCGCCCCCCGCGCAACCGCAACCTCATAACCCCCACCCGCTCCCCCCTCCGCAGCCTCACCCCGGGAGCAACCCCCACCCGCAGCCCGCTCGCACCTCACCGAGAACTGCCCGCCACGCGCCTCCCCCCACCACGGCCCTGACCGGGCCCGCGCAAGGCCAGGTTCAGTCGGCCGCCCAGCGCCGCTTGCCCAACGGTTACCGCTCCTCATCGCCCTCCGCACACCTCCATGGACCCCCCCACACTGGGCCCCACAAGGTCCCCCCGCCAGCTGGTCATCCAAGGGGTCCACGCAAGGGCCTGCATAAACCCTACAGTGAGAAGGAGGAAGATGATTGGTGCTAGCCTCTGGGAACGGGGGGCGGGACTTAAAGAGGAAGGATCGTTTCTAAATGTACTGAAAGAAAATAGAAAAGCTCTGAGCCAGAGCAGTGACTGCCAAGGGAAACCACGACTTTTCTTTTTCTCGTCCGTTTATTGATTTTTCCTCTCCTCCTCTTCTTGGGGTGTCCCAGGGATGTTGGGCTAGATGAAAGAATAGCTATCAGGATGAAAGGATGTAGCAGGACTGCTGAGGCAGAATCTGGAGAAATGAGTAGCGTAAAAGAAAGTTTAAAAAAAAAAAAAACAAGCTCTGTGCTCTATTCACATTGTTGTTGATCATCACTCGATGCCAAAAGAGACCAAGCTCAAATTCCACTTTTTATGGATGGCAGGAAGAGTGGTGGACACTACTCTTTGTGTCTTAATTTTGCCTCTGGCAACGAGCTATAGCCACTTACAAGATGTCAAGAGTTGCGACTCGATAAAAGACACTTTACAGTCAGAGACAAAGGAGCGACCTCTTTTTTCGTTTCTTAATTTTTTTCTTGCTTCTCGAGGCTAACCTCTGTCAAGTTAGCTACAACAAGAATTAAATCCAACCCTCCCAACCACCAGTTGAATATTGATGAGTTTTATCATCTGTGTTTTTAAATAAGAACAAAAACTGACAAGGAGCCCTCTGCCTGTATGAGGTGAGATGGCTAAGTGGGTGGGAGAGTTGGGGAGTGTGGCAAAGGGGGGGGTTGAGCAGTCCCAGTGTGGAAATCTAGAGGACAGGGTGAGTGTGTTGGGTATATTTAACACACTCGTCCCCGGAGACAAACAATTCAGCCAACCTCAACCCACGACCTACGAGAGAAGAAGAACAAAACAAAGAAAATTGGAGAGGTGTTTCAGAAACAACAAACCAATAACTGTTTTCTGCAGTATTTCTTCTTCTACTCCTGCAGCCGCTTCCTTCTCCTCTTCTTCTACTTCTTCAAAACATCGAAGCTTGAATCTTCTGTTGCACCCCACGCAGCTTCGTTTTTTTAGACTTGCGGAGTTGTACACCCTATGGAATACTGCATGAATGATACAAAAGAATACTACTAATAATAGCAACATTGAGAATCTACTATCTGTGGAGGGCATTTCTCCTCTGCCCGTTCTGTTGTGGTTTGTAGGGTTTCTCTCTTTTTATTGAAAATGCTTTCTGTTTCTCTCTTTGTGCTCTGAATGACATTCCTCTCTCTTTACCTTCATTTACACTAAAATCAAAAGACAGAGGGCTATGGGGAGATTGGATAGTTAGTGTATGTTTATCTATTGGGGGGGGGTGGGGGGAAGTGTACACAAATCAATGACTTTTTGCTTGCTTATCTACTGTCTGTTCTGTGCCAAATGCCTGCCACTGATACAGCTGGAATTGCACATATTTCTAGTGAAAGTGACTTTTTTTGTAAACAAGATCATGAGGTGAAAACGATGTAATGGGTAGCAGGGTATAAACTTGGATTTAAAAAAAAAGAAAAAATTAGTGATAGTTCCGGTGAAGTCTGACAAATCAGTAATTTCTTAAAAGTCTTCCAGGGTTTGGGGATCAAACAGAGGCATCAGAGAGGAAGAGACCAATAGAAAGGTGCAGAAAGGAGAGAAACTCTTCATCTTTGTTTTTTTTGTCACTGAAGGTAATAACGAAGAAACTACTAACACAATAACATGTAATGACAACAAAGACCTTGAGAACAAGACAGCTAATTTGCTCAGTATTTCTGTTTCATTTAAGGCTCAGGTAATCCTTTTTCCAACCCTAGAGCAGACTTCTAATTGTCAGCCACATTGTTGGGAGTGTGGGGGGTGGTGAGTTTGGAGGAGAAGGAGCAAAAGATGATTATGGGACATTGCAGGAGAATGTAAATGGGGGTTCCTACAGTCTAAGATAAAGATAAAACATAGTTATGCTCACACATGTGGCCTGCAGGAGGCGCCATATGACAACAGGGCTCCAACTGGATTTGGTTGTGTAGCTAATCAGCAGTAGAAAGGCCAGCAGCTCATTCCCTCACCAGTGGATGACCGTGTGTGAACGCATTGTATCTCAGTTTAAAGGGGTTGGAGGAAGGATGTCTTAGTCTTGGTGTGGTCCTGGAAATCACCTCCATTATGTGTGTTTCACTCCTCTGGGTCTGTTTTTTTCTGTGGGCCTCAAACTAACACTGGTCACTACCACACACCACCCGTCAGCCCCCTAACATTATTGTTTTTTAATGTTTTTAGTTGACCGACATTTAACCTAGAGGCCTATCACATGTTGACCAGAGAATGCATTGGAGAAAAAAAAAAAATCGAAATGAAAAAAATAAATAAATGAACCTGCCTATTAGTGTCTTTCCAGCCTTAGTGGAATGTCACGGACAAGAATTCACATCAACTACACTTAGAATCAGAAAGCACACAAAACGTATGTAGCTCCTGGTTGTGGGTTAGGGTGAAGTGTTTTTTTTTTTATGTGTGCAGGTGTGTTTGTATGAACATGGATGAATGTGTTTCTTGCTGCTTTTGTTTTTGTGCTTTCTTTCTTTTCTATGCTTTGCCTCCAGAATTTTTTATTTCAATGCCCAAATGTTTCTGTCATCTCATTCGAAAAATCTGCAACCCTGTGCGCGTGTGTGTGTGTGGACGTGTGTGTGTGTGTGTATGCGTATGCTTGCGTGAGTGTTGTGCGATGCCAGTCGACACCCGATTAAAACATCCAAAGGCCCAAACCTTCACTTTCCATCTTTGTGTATATGCTGCAGTAAAATCCACTAACACGCTGATTAACCACACACCGTCCTCTAAAAGCAATGTAAAGTCACAACGGAAAGATTAAAAAAAATAATTTTCTTTTCTTTTTTTTCAAATACAAAAGATTTTAAAAAGGAAAAAAATATATATCTAGTTCCAGAAATGCATGTGCTATGTGCATGCCACACCGTGGGTTTAAAGTCATTTTCAGGACATAGAAGAAAAAGCACATTAATTAATTCAGAGGAATAAAAAAGAAAATATATAAATAGATAGATGTTTTTTTTATTTAAGAAAAAAAAGAAAAAAGCAAGGTTTCATTTTTCCTTCTATTTTTGAGAACAAAAAAGTTAAAATTGAAAAAAAAAAAATCTAAAGAATAAAAATACAGAAGAGACTTTGGTGAGGGTCAAAGTCTAGTTTGTTTTCTTCTGTTACATGGGGTTGAGACACAACACATTCATGTTCAGGACACCACAAAAAAGAACTGTTTTTAATTAAAAAAAGAAGAAAGAAAATAACATACAGTTCAAAAGATGGTGTATTCTCCCTTCTGCTATGTGAGAGGGTCAAAGGGTACAGTAGCCAGCCAAATCTGTTGTGTACTTCGAACTGGCCGTTGGACCGTTGACCTCTCACTCACTCCTTTTTTCTCTCCAACTCTGTCTCTCTCACACTTACCTGTCGCACTCTCAGCCAGTCTCACCGCTATTTCTACCAGTGCATTTTGTAATTCCAAACAAAACTCTTCCTAAAGAATAAAATCCAGAGAGAATGCACCCTGCTTTGCCTCTTTTCTTGCTTGAAGTTTTAACAGTCTTTTTAAATGGGAGTGTTTGTTTATTTTTTGCCTGTGTGTGTGTGTGCACAATTGAGAGTATATAGGTTATCGATACCATGTCACATTGGGATAGTTCTAATTGGCCAGGAGGCATTTGTCATTTGGTGTTTCTATTTGACACATAGACACCAAAATACTGAATTAGTCCACTGTCAGCTGAACCCTAAAATGGCACTTAAAACCCTGAGTGAACACACCTAGGTATTGTGTTTGGTTTGAATAACTGAAATAACTGAATACAGAAACTAATCTTGACTCAAATGGGCCCGAGTTGTGTCTATACATGCTCAAAATGTTCATATTTTTACGTGAGCGTTTATTAGGACATCCCAATTCCTGATAAAGGCTCCTCTGCTTCATGAATTCTAATCAGGCAGCCAACCATGTAAAGAATGACTGAAAATCACCCCGTTATGGCTACCTGTCAATCCATTCACACACCATCTCTCTGCTCATACAAGTTTAACTTTATTAGCACAGCATCATCCGTCAATACCACCATTCAAGTGGCAGAAAACCAGTGTGCTGTGAATTTACTTGTATGCTGATTTACAACAGGGCTGATCTTGAGCTGGAAAAATGGCTCCATCCAGTTGTGTCTGTAAAGTGTTTTGTTTTGTCAACACACAAAGCAAAACCTGAATCTTGATTCACTGAAAGTAGCTTGATAGTCTGTAGCTCTTTACAGGAAGAGGGAATTTTTTTCAGACATAAATTGTTCAATTCACTCTTTAGCTCTTTATTGGATTTGATGTGTATATATGCACATGGTTGTGTTTTGGTTACTCAAGCCGACATGGTCGTACTGCACAGTTCGCACAGCTTCCTCCACCGCAAAGCAGACAAACGCCCGGCTTCAAGGAAACTGAGGAATTTACCCCATTCTCATAAAACTAGCCGACTGAAGCTCCATTTAAGGTCAGACACACCTCTGTTTAAGTCGGATTGATGTTTTGGGGCCCTTTAGGGTAGTAAAACAAGCCACTTACACAAAATTGCTGCTTTGTTCAAGCCAAATCTTAACATGTATCTTGGGTATTTGGATCAAACAATCATGGCTGGAAATACAACTTACTTAGTTCAGGAATGAGACTTGATGATGATTCTTTTTTGGTTAATACAAGAGTTCTGCACGGGTCCAAATTAGTACAGTTGTGTCCACTCAAACCCTTTAAACACACACATATGTGTTAATTATCTACATTTGACACGCAGATAAAAGCAGCTAACTGAGACATTCATTAAAATCCGCAGTCCAACCTCTGAGAATGTGATTGAATCATCCGAGATGTGTCAAGGCAGGTGTGAACAGAGCCATTATCACCCTGAGAAGCTATCAAGGCAGAATGAGAACTCACTATCTTTGCACCTTCTACAAGCTCTGGGGAGATATCTAGCTTTGCAAACCCACTGATGAATGCCCTCCAGCTAATGCTATTTGTCTACATGTGGTTTTCATCAAATCTTCAAAGAAACACAAAAAAAAAGAATGTTCAGAACATTTTCTCATTTTTGTTTTACTGAGCTGTGACAAGTATGCATGTGCTTAAAAAATTGAGAAACTATGCGTCATTCACTGGAGGAACCAGGCAACTGTTCCAGCTTTCACATGACAAATTCTGCCTGCCCAATCAACGTTTGCTGACCGAACCGAATCAAAGCCTCCCTTGGAGCTCAGGCTAACCTCAGGTGTTGTGCTTTGGCACGCAGAAGACGTGCATGTGTCAGCAGTCATCTGGCGTGAGAGAGAGACGGTGGGGGAGGCGTTCACAGCGGAACAGACCCAAAGCCTGCCGTTACAGGAGAAATGTTTGGGATGTGTCATGCGTTTGATGCGTGTCTCTCACAGGCATGACCAGACCAGACGGTTCCGGCCACTCCTCCCAGGTCTGTGTACACAGGCAGGGTGCTCCGGTTTCAGCCGGAAGAAAAAGGCGCTCAGTTGGGGCCTCATGGGGCTCCCACTGGCACTTCCCCCCCCCACATTCCTTCTTTTTTTTTTTCCTTGGACAAACCCCTTCCCCCAAAACAAACACACACAGTCGCTGGTGAATACTTCCATACAAGTTAAAGGATCTCACCTGAATCACATACAACTTTCATTCTTTTCTTCATAAAATATTTCAACACTATATGTAAGCAATTCATTTAAAGGCTGGGTAAAAAAAAAAAAAGCTTTAAACCATTAGTGGTTTCCTCCTTAGAAGATTGCATCACTAGCTATTATAGAAGACAAATTGGGCTTTTGGAGAACTCCAAATCCCATTTAAATAAATCAGTTGTGATTTACTTAAAATGCAATGATAAGACTAAATATCCCATGACTGCAAATCCCAGCTGCACAGCCTACTTGGAGAGTAACAAGACCCCCATTGTTTTCAGTCTTTGGCCAGTCAATGGTTTTTTGGCCTCCCCCCGTCATTCTTTGGACGCCAATCTCCTGGACTGTCCCTTCTTTTGTTCTGTAAATAAGTGTGGGGGATGGAAGCTAACTTCTTGACACCCAAGCAAGTTTCCTGTCCAAACACACCCACACTCCACTTTCACACTTGGGTCAATGTGTGAAAAGGTACACACACAAATTTCTTGCCACTCTTGTACAGCTATGAGCTGAGGGGGTCATAAAAAGAAACACACCACTTCAGATTCATCAGGTACAAAAAAGGTTTAATAAATATTGAGGTAGTTATAGTAATTGGGAACTTTTACACTTGAATACACCTCCATCTTCATTATCAGCATGTGCCATCAACAACACAAACGTATACAATTTCATGTACAAATACATGGAGGAACATGAGTTCATAGGCTTTGTGGAAATGTCCATCAAAGGCAGCTAAGGCTCCCTTCCTCTGACCCCGTGCAGATCCGCCTTTGGCCAGCTGAAGTCAAAACGAGGCCAGGGGTCACCGGGGCACCCAAACAGGACAGTTTAGCTACCAGCCGCGAGCGAGCCCAAGCTGGACAGAGTCTTGTCTGGAGCTTTGGGGTCACGCTTTCCGGTGGAGTTAAGCCAAAGTCCGGCGAACGTTATGGTGCGTTCAACGACCCCCTTCCGTTTGTTTCGAAAAAAAATAATAAATCCAGCCGGGGCTTCAACACGCCGCTATGGCAGTCTGTAGGGGGATGGGGGTTGAGGGTGGTCCCAGTTTACTACTGCACGTCACGTAGTCCACCAAAACAGAATTGACAAGGAGCTGTTGGGGGCTGTTTCCATGTTCAAGTTTTGCCTTCTTACAAGGCAGGAAGTCCGGCTCGGCCGCCGCTTTGCCCCGTCGCTTCCGCGTGTGCGGCGCGGGCACAGCCGAGCACACGTTCTCCTTGTTTTCCGCGCCGCCGGGAGCGTGTGCTTCTTCGGGCAGGTGAGGGCCAACCTGGGGCTGTTCGACGGGAAGGGAAGCCGGACTCTGGAGCAGTTGAACGCCACTTGGCTCCATATTTGCCTGAGCCGCTGGCTGCGGTTCTTCACCCGCTTCCGCGACGCCCCACGCCCTGGCCTGGGCCGCGTGGTAGATGTCCCGGGCGGATTTCATCACCAGAGTCAAGAGCAGACTCCGGTGGAGACGAAGACCTCCCCTCTGCGTGCGGGAGCCGTACAGTTTCCCCAACGCCACGACCATGACCCTCTTGGCCTCAGCAGTGACCTCCATGTCACAGTTTGTTTTGAACCAATTCCAGCACAAACAACCAACGGTTTACAGTTTGGGGAAGTTCGTCTCTCCCCGAAGGCTTCACGCGCAGACACAATACAAGCCGACCGCGAGACAAGTACTTATAACCTCGCTGACGTCACTCAACTTACGTCACCCAACTGAGTCCCGCCCACCGGGCGCTTGCACAGACTTAAATTCAAACCACGGAGCAGCTGGTCGGACAACTGTGTTGCCTGACCTGGTCAGCCCAAGTGAAGGGCTGTAACTTTACGCTTAATGCCATATTGAATATTTAGACGAAAGACAAATAGAATGGAAAAAGCTAATTAAAAAAATCAGGATAATTAAATGGAAAACCATTTTTTTAAAAACACAAAATCTGCAAATTTGGTCGTTGGCAAATTGCAGTTCCTTAATTTTGAGCAAGTTAAAAATCACAGAAGACTATTTATGTTTGATCTGATATTCGTTTTGAAAAAATCTGCTTTTGATAGGTAAAATATCCTCAAATTAGGCTATTTGGGGCTAGTTTGTGGACTTTACATAAATAGTTTCAGCACCAAATACACTTAGGTGAACATAGGCGAACAAATACAGATGTATTAGAAGCCAAGGCTTTGTCAGAGCTGTCCTCCCATCTTTTCTGACAAACACACACACGCAGTCCATAGTCATAACCAGTTCAAACTGGCTTAGGTTTGAAATTGCATATTGGGGTTGAACACCTACCCAAATAAGGATTTTATCTTTTAATTTAAAGAAAGAAATACTAATGTGGTTGCATTATATCTTTGTATAAAATGTGTCTGAGCTCTCCAACAGCAGTTCATGAACTGGCTTCAGGCATTTATCCTGTGATGTAACATTAAAATGCTTTATGTAATTGGGCAAGTGCAAGTATGCTGTTGTTCAATATGAGACTGCAACATTTAAGGAGCCCTCCAGCTCAATGTGATGTGACAAGTAAGACATATGTTGTAAACAGATGGATTTCAGTTAATCTCAGTAGTTACATTTAAATTCACAAACGGAACAATATTTATAAAACAGCGGATGAAATGCTCTTTTGTGTGGATGCTATTTTTGTCTACCCTTGTCCATTCTGCCATAAGGAATGGAAGCTATGCCACTCCCCCCACCTATCTGGAATGGTCAATAGACTGCTTATAATCCAGCCTGAGCTCTTCTCACTCTCACCCATCCCCCATTTTGCTGCTTCCTTCAGCAGGAAACAAGAAAGGGAGGTGGAGGTTAACAGACAGATGCCCATATTAAGCACATCCTGCTCTTGTTGGGCCTCGTTGAGGAAAACCCGTGACGTGCGTGGGAGCCCTGGTTTCCTGAGGCCATTTAAAGTAACAGTAGAGAGGATTGCGTCAGGTTTTTGCCACTTCCCAGAGACCATATTAGGGCATAGAAATCCATTCCCCCAATATGTATGGTTCGGAGAAATGGACCGTCATTCAGACTTTAATGGCAGTAGGAATGGGTGGAGTTGAAGAATTATGAAACAACCAACTTTATTTCACTCAGCTTATGTTTTCTTTTCAGATTTACATTTTCTCACTCCTTTTCTATTTTTTCTTTCTGGCTTACAGAAGAATGTGTGGTATGCAGACCATTGTCTCTCCAGTGAGTGCAGTTCAACAGAGCATTAGTGCAAAAGAAAGCAGGAAAAGAAAACACACTGCACATAGATAGATAGATAGATAGATAGATAGATAGATAGATAGATAGATAGATAGATAGATAGATAGATAGATAGATAGATAGATAGATAGATAGATAGATAGATAGATAGATAGATAGATAGATAGACAGATAGATAGAAAAGCAAAAAAAAAATTTGTTTTTAAAACAGTTAAACCATGATAATTGTGCCATTAACTTTTGCTGATCGTTTTTTTAATATATTTTTTATTTCTAGTATTTTTGCTTAATTCTAATTACACTGCAGATGATCCTGAACACAAACTTGTTTTCCATTCCTTTGAGTTTTTTAAGGCTAGAAACAGGCTGCCCTCTTGTGGTCATTCTTAGGAATCGAACCCAATTTTTGTTTTCTCGTCCATACTTTGACTATCTACTTGTGTCTTAATTGGGATTTATAAATCTTTCTGGGAACAAAACGTTCAAAATGCTGAAGTCAGTTTTCCAGCTATATATGTCCATGAAAATATGTAATTTACCATTTGGCTTTTTTTCCCACCTTATTTGAGGGACCAACACAGTAAACATTGTTTCTTTTTGGTCTCTTAAACTCACAAACTTAAAATCTCAGCTATTTTGCACTTTTCGTGAATTATCTTTATATTATTTTATTCAGAGCACTGGTCTTCCCCTTGTTGGTTAAATATATGAACAGCAATTAATCAATTGCGTGACATGAATGAATAAAACAAGATAAAAAACCTTCCTGAATTCTTATACTATCGGTGACCATTTTCAAGTCAGTGGATTTTGATAAATGCAACTAATATATGACAGTGGAGGGACTTGCGAGCTGGCAGAACTTGAATCTTGTAGTTTTTTTTCTAATCTGGGTTCAATATTGGCCACATGTTGTCCCCCTTTACAGATGTAAAAATCAAAGTAGAGACTAACTGATGCCTGAGCATGAAAGTCAAAAGTTGTGTGTCAGCTGTGTTCATAAGCTTTCAACACTGGGTGGTGCCATTAGACTACTTGATTTTTCTTTTTATGCACTGATTTCTGTCTGCTTTTGAGGTGAAGGTTAGCGGTGTCTCATACATACATGGAAAAGAAAGGTAGGAACTAAAAAATATAGTAAAATTCATTAAAATTAAGTTTTTCTGTCATTTTTAAAAAGCATCAGATGTATACACATGTGCTTTTAAAAAATTGGTCAGAAGATTTTAGTGAAAATTTATTTTGTAATGTTTTTCATTTATCATATCTGTATTAGCAGATCTACTTTATGTACTGCTAAAACCACATAAATGGTAGAAATGTTATGTGTAGCTCCTCTGTCATGTTGCTTTCTGCGAAACCCGCTAAAGAAAAATGATGCAATGACTAATGCTCTCACTCAGACTTGTTGGCTTAGGCTCAGTTTCTGCGAACAAAGGCACATTTTCACTCCCTGCACACTGTGTGCAGTGTGACACATTTATGCTCCATGTGTGATGCAGCGGGGTCAGTTTGGTTTTTAGAGTAATGGAACTGTGAGAACGATGATAACGAGTCAACGGCTGGGAAGAAAGAGCTTTCCATTGCGTGTCCCCGTAATGTTTGGGATTAGTGTGTGTTTAGATAGAACACAAGAATATCTGCTCTTGCCATTTGTCAAAAGCCCCCAGCCCACTCATGCATGTGTGATAAAATGGATGAAAAGTTCCAGCTTCCGTGTGAGCAAAAATACTCACTTATCATGTACAGCCTACAGTATTGCATTAATCCTCATAGGTTTAGCTTTTGTCTCTGTAATACAAGTTGACCGATGCTTAAAAAAACAATGATAAAGTCAACAACTTTTAGATGACGAATATTGCCATCAAACACAAAAACCTGTAATTCAATAGTCAAACTTTGCCATGTTCTGCAGGTCCCTCTGAATTTGGGTCACGTTGATGCGTGGACTTTAACCGGACCATTGCGACACATAGATTGTTCACTTTCAGTCATACCACTGCAGAATTGCTGCTGTGTTTGGGAACCTGTCATATTAGCAGGATTTGGTCATACATGAACCATCAAACACCATCTGACTTTGGAAAACGTTGGCGTACAGAGGAGTTCATAATCAACCAAACATTTGCGAGGTGTCCAGGTCCTGTGGCTCCAAAACAAGCCCAGATCATCAGCCCTCCACCACATGTGCTTGACAGTTACTATGGAGTGTTTGGTTTGGAGTTGTTTAGGTTTGGTTAAACATGACGCTGTTTATTATGACTAAACATCTCCACTTTGGTCTCAGTAAACCTTGAGGTTTGTACAGATCCAGCTTTGCAAATCTAAACTGTGTGGCCATGTTCTTTTTAGAGAAAAGAGGTGTTTATTCTGCAAACCTTCCAACCATGCCATACTTGCACAGCTTTCTTCTCCTCGTGCTGCCATGAATGTTCACATTTAGAACGTTAAAGGTTGAGATATAGCCTCTCGGCCCATTGCAATTTCTCTGAACATTATACAGACTAATTCAACATCCAGCTAAGGCTTTGGGATAACTGCCAGCTGTGTTGGATATTTTTTACTTGTGAAAAATGTTTCTCATTTTAAGATAGGATCGCTTTGTATTTTGCATTGGAAATCCTGATATTTAAGATTGAAATTTCTATCCTCCCTTTATTACTGAACTGTTTTTGTACAACATGAAAATATATTTCTAATAAACTTTGGAAAATGAAACCTGCCAGACATCTCCAGCCTAGTGATGCATGTCAACTTGTGACAGAAAGTGTGTCAAGCATGAAAGCCAAACTATAGTCAAATAAAGACCACAACAGATGTGTGGGATTTTTTTGTCAAGCAGAAGAACAAGGAAACAAATCAGAAAGTATTAAAATATGTATATGAAGACAATTTAAATAAAGGTTTGTTTAATCTTTAAGTAGATAAAAGGTGACAGATTATATTATAATACTAATAATTAGGCTATATATGCTATCTATATTTCATTCATGTGTGAAGACAACATATGAAAAAAGAGAAGCCTGAGAGAAATTGTTACAAATCTTTTATTAAGATATTCATTCTTTAATCCATGTTGACATTTTCTCTATGGTTTGCATTTCTGTATTTTACAGTCATTAATGTGCAATTACCTTTGATAATGTCGGGTCACAGTTACAGGGCTTTCACAAAGTTATTGGCACTTGGAACACAGAGAGAGGAGGAAGATGAGCAGTACAGGAGGTCCACTGGTGCTACAGGGTTACAGAGGGGAAAGAGCAGGGGCAAAGACATGGGCAGACCGGGTACTGCACAGCTTGTGAAGAAGCGCTGTTTCTGGGTAGATATATACCTCATGCTGCGAGTGCACAACAAACAATCGGATCTCTATGTGTGCAGCTATAAATATACATACATATGTATATATATACATACATATGTATATATATATATATATATATATGCATATACATATATACACACACATATGTATACATATATACACACATATGTAAAATATACAGTTCATCTATACATGTATATAATCATATTTATATATGTACTGATTAGTGACAAAAGACTCCTCATGCCATGCCACACCTTATCCATTCAAGTGTGTAGGTCTACGTGTTGTATGAAGTGTAAACATGTATGCTGAAAGGTACAAAAATTATGATTTGCTTTTAATGTTAAAAAAAAAGACAGCATTACAGTAACACAGAGTAACACACACCTAATGAGGAGTGTGAGTGGCCGTGAGTGTGGGGCATTTGAAAGTTGACTGAACTTTATCAAACACGCGATTCATTTTTACTACTCTTTTTAAACTGATGGTAAAAAGCGTTCCTTAGCCATTTTGTTAGCCACTAACATATTGTTGTGTGCAGTGTGGAGACTTCTGTATCTGGGCTGGGCTGCTGTGTTGTGACCAACATGGTTTTTAAATTCAACGATGACTCAGTGGTGATATTATGACTCAGAATCCAGTCCAATTCATACATTGGATCACTGTTTTGCAAATCGGGCTGGGAGGTCACTGCAAGATCCCTGTGTTTTTCCACTGGAAAACCATATTTGTTCTTAAGAAAATCTTCTGTACTTTTAAAAAATGTAATACAAAAAAAAAAGACCTCTTAAAATTTATAAACAAATAAAGATGTATATCCTAATTAAGGCTGAACAAACTGAACCACTGATTTGCCTTTCTCTGAAACACATGACTACACTTGTGGAAGTGAAACATGACACCAGATGCATGAAGGACAGGAAGCACAGTACAGTCTTCAAAGATACTGGTACACGGGGGAGGGGAGCCCATGTGGCATCTACAGTCAAATGCATTACTGAGGTTTTTGTTTAAGTGATCCACCTTACTGACTACTCATAAGATACTGCATTTTTGTTCTGTTCACGCATCTTTCTCAATTTGAAACAGCAATAAAACTGAACTGCATTGAAAAGGAAGCATACATTTATTTCTGCGCCCATCCTCAGAAAAGTAAAACCTTTCCATAAATGCCTTTGAAGAGGGAGGCCGTTTCTCCCTTTGAGGTTGAATGCACACGACGAGTCAGACCCTGACCACTTCCATTTTTATCCACCTGCAATAGGAATAATCCTGACCTGCGTCCAACAGGCCAACAAGCATTCAAAAATGTTCAAACACAGACATTTACATGGAAAAAAATAAATCAGTTGTTAACATTTCTTGAACAGACACGTCAAGCAACTAAGAGGAAGAACACTTGGGATTTAACTCAACAGTCTTCTTGGTTATTTACAGTAGATGTTTGTGCCACCTACAAATAAGAAAACACAGACAGGGATGGGAGGAGGGAAGAAAATGACAAATTCCACCTATATGGGTTTGATTGCTACACAACATTTTTCAAGAAAGGTGCTTGAACCATTGGTTCTTCTCTTTAAGGTGCATAAATCACCACTCTACTGCTCGTGGAAGGTGCAAAAATAATGTCAAACTCCAAAATAAAGCCGTCTTGGATCTCAAGATTGAAGAGGTGCAAAACACGGATGAATCCACTACGCACTGAGAGACGCATCTGCACAGGACAGACTTGCCTTCTCTACCAAAAAACTACGTGGCACACACACCAATAGTACCATAAAATCGGTTTACTTCAAGCAATATCGACTCGACTCTGTGACATCACTGCATCCGTTGGCTTCAGCGTACTGATCTCAGTTGAAAGGCACATTCTGATATCCAATAATTTATAACTTTTCAATAATGTCTGTACAAAGACAAAGCTAGCCAAGTTTTCAGATCAACATAACCTTTAGGTTTCTACAAGTAGTTTCCAAAACTGTGATCAACTGTTTTATCAAAGGAGGAAAACGTTGCAGGGCCACAACCTAACAAGAGATTCAACATTTTCAGACACAGTCAAGCTAGCTGATACACTCTTCTTGTTCCTTTTAAGCCAGTGAACAGAAGATGAAATGCATCAAATTTAGCAGTTCAACTGCTCACTCCATCTCTTTCACTTTAAAGTGAAGTTAAAAATAAACGACAGAGGCTCCTATGACAAGACAGCTTTTTCATACCCCTGTAAAAATAGCACTTCTCCTTATTTTACAAGAGCTCTTTCATTAAAAGATGAACATCGAGATTTTAAAACAATCCCTATCATTCTCTTGGCTCACACCGCTCCAGGCATGGGCACTTGTATAAATATAGTGTGTCATCCAAAAATATGTCCATCTTAAGTTACCTGTTGCCCTTCAATCTTTACAATCATCTTGGCAAGAAGCGTTCCTTCTCCCTCTTTTCAGCTCATAGACAGAAACAAAAAAATAAAAATAAAAAAAACTTGCAAAAAATTTATCAAGAAAACAGAGGAAGATGAGAGTAGTTCTATAAGACACGGCACAGTGAAACACTCAGGTGAGAATCTTTAGTCTCAGGAGAGGTGAGGTGGGTTGAAGAATACTTGCAGGGTGATGAGGGGAAGTTGTGAGGGGACGAGGAACGAGTAGTGTTAATTTGCTTTAATAAGATGTCTATTTTTGAAAATTTAGCTTCTTTCCCGAGGCTGGAACAAAAGTTGTCAGGCTTGCATAGAGAAAAATGCCAGCGACACGTACATTCATTATTCTTGTCTCATCTCTACTCCTGACCTATCCGTCCAGCCATCCCCTCCTCCTCAGGCTGCACTGGTAGCCCCCTACCGCCTGCATCTCAGGGAATGTATTTATGATGCAACACTGGATGCGCTTACACACCTTAAAAAGACAAGGGGAGGCAAAAGCCAGTCTCTCTTAGACTCCTCCAAATCCTCCACTAACCCATTTTTACAGTCATAAAGCAAAACTTGTAAGATTTCACGTCCTGGTTATATCGGGGTAACAGCTGTTGCCCCAAGCAGTGTAGTACAGACAGTCAAAATGTGAGAGATCAGCGTGGGCCAGAGAGTGAGGAGGCAAGCACGACTGGGGGGAAACGGGCATGTGCATCACCCATCTTGAACCTTCCCTGGGCTCAGTGTTCAGAACAACTGTCCTCCGTCCCCGCCCACACTGGGCAGAGATTCACCTGAAGAGCCGCCCGACTCGATGGCGGCGCCGCCGGCCTCCAGCGAGGTGGGGTCGAAGGTCGGATCCGCCCCCAGGGCGTCGTCCTCCGTCTTGACCCCGTCTGGGAGGAAAGCAGAGTAGGCGTCGCTCTCGGCCATCAGCAGCTTGAGCTTGGGTATCCAGCTCTTTCGGACCACACGCCGGGCGTTGGTGCACATGTCGGCCGCGATGGCGTTCATCTCGCTCTCTTTGAAGCTGGTGGCGAAATTCTGGCAATAAACTGACGCGAGGAAGAAGAGAGAAAAAAAGCACTTTAGGTTTATATGAAACAAAAGCTGAATTCTGACCTGAATCAAGTTCGTGTTCAGACTGCACGCAAAGAAGTTGCGTACATGAAAACAGTTAACCTTTTTCTGGTTATAATTTCCGAGCTGGTGTCAATTAACATTTAGTGAAATGAAAAATGATACAGCCAGGATAACTATAGCCGAGAAATATCAGAAACGAGAAGATGCTGAGGAGACGTGCAGCCGTGACATTTCAACAACCAATTATTTCTGCCTTATTTCTCTGCTTGCATTTATACATCCAAATGAAAGCATTTTGTTGTTATCTAGTGGCCACTTTGACTTAGTATAATGCTAATTTTTGTGCGAACATTTAGGTGTCAAGAAAGCAGCAACAAGCAAAACAGTGATTTCCAGTGCCTGGGGTTTTAGCGTAATGGAGAGTGATGTTTGTCTGGATAGGCCACATAGGATCACAGTTTTAGAAATGCACATCATACAAATCCAACTCAAACACTTGATTAAAGTTTCCTTCATAGCTTCTCCTAGCATCCGGCAAATTGAGTAGTCTTCAAAAATCACCATCCTTTCATTCAATTAAACACGCTGAACTGTAAAAAACAATCTCAAGTAATATTCTGTTCTGTTATCATCAGAGAGTTCTGTGAACTCACAAAAGTGTTATATGAAACGGATAAAAAAAAAACACTTTACCGAATGTAATTGTTTGTACATCTTTTTATCATTTCTGACTGTCTAAACTGCTTAGAAAACCTTTCGTAACAGTATTCATGACATTCCATTCAGTAATAACAAGGCCCTGGCAAAATGAATGTAGCCAGGATAGCTCTAAAATTCTAGTGCCACGCCATTCAGAAGGTGCAAATAACTTCCCTTTTGCACACCAATTCAAGTGTTTCACTCACAAATTAAATGGCACACAAAGTCCTTTCAAGTATGGAACCATGATACGTTTATGCAGAAGAAAAAAAAAACTATCTGCACCAGACTTTGCCTTTTTTTTTTGTGTGTGTTTTGACAGACAAAAGGTGAACGCTCACATTTGACTGCATGTAGCACTCTGTTGTCCAGGGGCTTGCGGCTTGGGTCATTGGTGGATGAGCGGATGCCTGTTCCACAGCTGTTGGCCAGAGTGTTCCTGACACATCAAAACAGCAGTGAGTTGCACAGGACACAGGAAGGCAAAAATAGTTGTCTTACCCCTCTCAGGCTAGCAGATGAAAGCAACTTCTAACTTCTATATTAAATCTTGGCGCTTTCTAACATGACATGAAACACTTGCAGAAATAGACCCAGACGGAGGGAACAAACCTGTCAAAGAAGGCAGCCAGCAGCCTCCTCAGTAGCACCTTGTGTCTGGTCCCCGCACTCACATGACAGTTCATTAGCTGAGCTCGAGATATATACACAGAAGTACCTGCAACCAAAGCACGGCCAAGAAAAATAAACAATCCACAAACAAAAGGAGCCCTGTATCAACTGCACTGGTTATCTACAAAGGCCAATTTATCTTGTGAATTCATGGCTTTGTCATCTTGTTCAAGGTTTGTGTGTTGCAATGATAAGATCAGGAGGAGTTTGGCTGTCATTTAAAGGAACAGAGATTTTTTTTTTAAATCTGGTGTCATTGGCAAATCATATCACATAGCTGTCGCTGTGTTCTGGTTGCATGGCACGGTTTTACTTTTTGCGACGTTGGAATTTCAAAACTCTAGTGTCCTCTTCTTGTTCTTTTCTTGCGAATTTTGTTTTCTATGAGCTGAATGAGTGCATGCAGAAACTGAGATATGGTTTGCTATTGGGGTCCACTGAATTTACTTCTGGATAACTATATTCTGTGTGCTTCATTTTTCCGCCGTTTTCTGCCTTCATTCATGTGTCTCTGCCTCTCCTTCCACACCTGCAAATACCACACACAGTACCATAAAGCGAGAAGTGTGACCCGTGGCGAAGGCAGATATCACTGCAGGATGTCCTTGACATAAACACACTGAGTCACATGTTCCACACAGTCCTGCAATTCAATGCCAAGCCCAGTCAACTGAGGACAGCTCCTTTAAATATGCGCATACATATCAGTGCCTTTTGCCGAATCCTGGCCATGTTTTATGTGGTTCTTTTGCTGCACTTCCCCTCTGCTGCAAATTTTTCTGTACCAGAATTTCAGCGGGTGCCTAGTTTAATATGGCAAGCATGTTAAAGATGTGGGCGGAGCCCCGCTGCATATTTGGCTGTAAACACTACTAGTACTACACTTCTCAGAATTCAATGTGACCAAACAGACATGCAAGTTACTTCTGTAATATTCAACCAAATGCTTCCTTCCTTCATTTTTCTAGATGAACGTTTTCTCAAGTTTGAACCACAGAGGTTTTCAACTATAGGCCGAGAAAGAAAAGCAGCATTATTTGGTCTAATTCTTTTTAACCTGTACCTATAAATGCAACAATAGGCTGTCTTCATGAATTATAGCTAACAATATAAAAATGAAATGAGTGTTTATGCTGCAGATCGGCCTCAGGGCCTGAAGATAAAGTTGTGTTAAAAAGAAAAAACAAAGTTAGTCTTTCCATCTTGTCCTCTAAACGTCTCTCAGTAATTCACTGTCCCCGTCTGAACCTTTTTTGGCATCAAATCCAAAATGAGCAGGCATAACTCAAAGAACAATAAAAACGTCAGTGTCAGAATTTGATATGTTGCCCCTGTTCTATTTGCTATCAAATATGAAGTTTTAATAACTTGCAAATCATTTTTTATTAAAAACTGAAATAGCACAGCTAAAAACTTTTTCGCCTTTTTTTTTTTTTAAACCATGAAACAGACACACACACACAAATATATATACCTGAGACTAACTCCAGCTTTTCTGCGGGGTCTCCCTCCTCGTACAGTTTGGGATGACAACGGTTCCCTATCTGAGCGATGAGTTCTGCAGGTAGACACGTTAGGTCCCGGCCTCTCATCCGACCGCGAGTCTCTGTATGGTCTGGCAGAGCCTCCACACGCTCGCCAGCTGCTGCAGACACACCGCAAACACACATCCCAGTCACACACACAATATATTTCCTGATTCGTCCCAGAAATGGCGAAAACATTGGTCATTTCATCCTTTACCTGCAGCTCCCATGTTGAGCATGCTGTACATGGTATACATGTTGCAGATTTGCCTGTACTGCTCTTCGGCACTTTCATCTGTCCCCTCTTCTTCCTCTTCATCATCGTGGTAGCTGATGGGCGAGTCACTAGCGTAGGTGCTCAGAGTGCCCGGGCTGGCGCCCTCCGACATACCTAGCCCGGTTGCTGAGCTTCCGTTGGTTCCTGCACTGCCGCTGCCCATCATGCCCGCCAGGCCGGTTGTAGTGGCCCCCATACTTATGGCCAGTCCAAGAGCTCCCGGACTCTGGATAGCACTGCCCCGCACTGCCTCCTGGGAATAGCGGGCAGCCTTCCTGGCCCCGCCTCCTGCCCCTGAACCTACACTGCCTCCATCCCGGCTGCTGCCCCCCTCCCACAGCCGCTTGGCAACGGGAGTGCAGACCACAGAGTAAGGAGCAGTGGCTTCGGGCTGGCTGACCGGCTGCTCCGTCTTGACCCGCGATACCAGGGGGAGCGGCGTCAGGCTGGAGGCGGGCCGGGCTGCACTGCTGCCGGTCTGCGTTACCGGACTCTGCGGCTCTGAAGGTGGAGCCTCCTCTGCATGAAGGCCCTGGGAGTCACAGCTAGGAGAAGATACCTAAAAACAAATGAGAATGTTGATTTTCTGTCTGGATGCGGGCATAATTCAACTGAAACAGCGAACATGCAGAAAAGTCACTCTGACTAACAGCCAATACACGAGCCGGACGAACAAACTGAACGTGGTCTGAGGTCTGAAATGATTTGGGTTTTTTTACCTTACAGGTTTGACCGTCGGATTAAGTAGAAAGTCTTTTGTACCTTGAGGAAGAATTCAGTGCCCTTTTCCATGATCTGCTGGATTTGCAGGAAGCCAGCAGTATACATGAGCAGAAACTGGTCCCCCACTGTCATGCTGAGACGGCCAGTGTAACAGAAAGTCAAAATTTGCTGGAAGCTCTGAGGCTGCACGGCCGGTGGGAGCTCCACCACGGTCGGGTTTGTCTCGTTACCGCTACCACCGGAGCCATTGCTGCTGCTGCTAAAGAGGTCCCGGAAATAGGAGCTGCTGGCAGCCAGGACAGCTCGATGAGCCTGAGGTACAAGACGACAGGAATGGATTCTTTTTAAAAAAATGTCATAACACTGAATGCGTTTTTAGGTCTTACTAAATTCACAAAAAAATCAAAATGCTGATCCAGTAAGGGCTAGACGTTGCTCAGAATTTGGCCCAGACATTTTTTTAATGATCATATTTTTCAATAGTTGTCAATAGAAATAAAAACATTCATAGCTGTAACCTTTAAATTGACCTTCATTTCACCAGGTAAATTAAACTCTTGAAATATAATTCTTCTCTGTGAGAATACTCAAGCCAAGACAGGCACCCAGTAGAATAGTATACACCTTTCCAATAAACCCATTTAATGTCACATGTGAATTAAACCGCCGGAAGGGAACTCTGCCAGAGATAAAATATGGTTTGGAATTGACTGAACTATGAATCAAATTACATTATGTCATATGGAGAATATTAAATTAATCCAGTATTTGCATCAATGTCTCACAAAGATTTATTGAAGTATTGATTTCATTCTTTTTAAATGTTGTGTCACTCCTAACACACAGAGTTCTCAATTTTTTTTCTTGAGAAGAAATTAGTTAAAAAGCTGATCTGGAAACAAGAATACACAGAACAGAAAGGTTTAAAGCAAATATGTAAATCCAATTATAGATCTTATTTTCTATTTTTTTTAGGTTTTAATGAGATTCATTCATTTCCAATACTAACAACAGTTAAACAGAAAAGAAAACACAAATAACTGAGAAAAAGTGTTCAAATCAAATTAATTATGCTTGTCCACTTGTAAATGAGCAAATTGCTGAAGGGAAATTACAAATAGATCTAATTCCTTAATAATATGAATTAAACATTTATTGTGTGTATAAATGGCAAAAACTTTAAATGAGCAGAAAGAAATTGACTAAAGTGCAAAGTTTTCTAAAGTGAAAACCAATTCAGTTCTAATTTAATAAAATCAACCCACACATTTGGAAATTGTATTCTATCTACAAAACCATCACAAATTAAGTCCAGATTTTGTTTCTTCAAGGTTGATCCAGCTATCAAAATGGTTTCATTGGTAAAAAGGACAAAGGTGATCTTAATTCCTTTATGGTAGAAAAAAATAAAAATAAAAGAGGTCTGAAAAATTCCCTGAAAAATGCAGGGGTTGTACCAAGTGGGAGACCAAAGGGTGGGAACTGGTATACGGCCCAAATACATCGTTATGACAACGGACTGTGAGCGGGGACGCCCACATTTCAGGAAAAATAGTTGGAACTACCTACTCAACTGTCCAAACATGAACCTCTTATAAAATATCAAGGTATATTTCCCTGACGGCACGTGACTGTACAGGAAGAACAAAACAAAAAATCATAATAATTCCTTTCTGCCTCACTTCCGACTCTTCAATCTCAACCTCCCTTTTTTCTTTGCATATCCTCACGGCTGTTGTCGAGAAACAAGAGTAACCCGACGTCTTAGGAGTACCTTGAAGGCATGGCCCTTGACCACTACGGAGACATCACAGTACAGGCCCTGCAGTCGCTGCTCGTTCAGACACTCTAAAACGTTGTTGCCGAAGTTTGGGATCGCCATCTGGAGGGTCTGGGCCATGGTGCGCCTACGCACACCACCTAAGGGTTTTGCTGGGAAAAGAGAGAGGAAGTGAATACATGACATCTCATCCATACCTGTCACCAAACATTCAACCAACACACCGGGGCTGAGGAGAACTTGTTTGTGTCAGTGGGTCAGTATTTTCCTCTGGGACAGGGCTGACTGTGGGCATCGGTCTCCCTGCAGCGCTGCACGGCTGCCTAGAATATCATTCACATGATAACTGCAGAGCAGCAGCCCTTTGATTCATGGGTTCCGCTGCTTTATCCACGGCTATGAGCAGGATCCAGGCCGCACAGTGGGATAACCTCACCAGGCACATTCACATCAGTGACAACTGCTTTATCCTGTGCCCATTCTTTTGGGAGTGAGGAGAGTTTCAGCAGGCAGTTTGTGGAGGAGGAGGTGCGATGTAACGGGGCCGTGGTAAGACACAAAAGGCTCAAAGAGAGCAGACCTAAAGCTAAACGGGAGAGAAATGTTGGGCTCTTACACTAATAGGCACAATAAAATGGCAGATAATGTTTCATTGCTGCAAACTAATTCCAAACATCCACTTAATATAATGGAACTCTATGGTAGCACTGCTAAGCCAATTGTATTTCTAATGAAATGCCTTTGTTCAAGAGAATAGCCGACCTGAATAAGAATTCTGTACCTTGGCACTCCCAACTCACATAGTAGTCCTGAGGGCTTTTGGATGCCGTTTGGCAGTTTTGTTGAAACATCCATGGACACTCTACATCCAGCTAATCCTACACATAACTCTGGCCTTGGGCTGGTTGTTATGGCCGAGGATAGGCTTTCTCCTGTCCTCTATGAGCTATAAAGTTGCAGGTCCTTAGATAACAGAGTCGTGCTCTTTTACTCCACGAGCAAAAGTGTCTGTGTGAGTCCCAAACAAAAACCACGTTGCAGGTTTGAAATCAGCTCTGTCAACAGTCAAGAGCAAACATACCCCCTCGCCCCGTACCCTCCAGTAAATTGCTGCATTCTGCCTGCTAAATCAAAACGAATAGGCGATCCCTCTTATGTTTACAGGCGGATTAAATACACAGCTGCTAGATCAAGTCACGATGTGTGAAGTGATTGGAAAAATACCCAGATTTTTTTATAGCTTTGCCTTCATTTCATGTACAGGGCCAGCAGTCAAATGCATGTGCTATAACCCTTCTGTTAAAGTTCAAATTCACATCAGATGTACCCATCAGCCCACATAGCATTTCATTCCCCCAAACCGTTTGGATAATAGATCCATTTCTGAGCGTTTTCACAGGAGGAAAGAGGCCAGCACGCCTAGCCGGAGCGACTTTACCACGTGCACGCACACAGACGCAGCAGACACACTGGCGTAAGATACTCTGATGCTGTGAGAAAAAACTGACCCAAGCCCACCCTGCGAGAGGCATACCACCAACTTTGGTGTGACTGACTGATAAGAGCCGGAGTGAGCCACCCCATCATATCCAAAGCCTTTCATTTGGGACCTCGCCAAGCTCCAGGGTAAAGAGAAATGCTCTCTTTGTCTCTGTCTCACTCAAGCTCCCTCTCCCTCATACTAAAACACAGATGCGCACACACAAACTCAAACAAACCCACAAAAGGCACACTGAGTCACACACAGACATTAGACAATACTGCTTGTTTACAGTTTGGCGAGCCGCAGTGAGCACACATGCGTGCACATAGAGACACACAAACACTGGGCTGAGTGCAGGGTGTGTTTGCACAGTTTGCCCTGACAGTGAGAGAGAATGTGACTGTGTGTGTGTGTGTGTGTGTGTGTACACACACGTGTGTGTCTTTATGCACTAAGGAGGGGCACCGGGGCCTGCAGAGATGAGAGGGATCATCTCAGGTCTTTATGACATTAAATATATGGAGTGCAGCAATGCGAACAAATGAATCTCAGCCTGTGGCTTGGATCTCAGACCAACAAACATGGAGAGAGAAGTGGGTCAAACACGCTCGTAACACACTCGAGACTGTAGATTTTCATCGTAAGCTTTGGGAATGTTTTGGGCTTGTGTCATGTTGTGATGGGACAGCTTTCAAAAATAGTCTGTAACTTATGAAGCCTGGCCACTTTGCCTTCTATCCATTTCTGGGAGTGAAAGTAGCAGCACAG